CGGAAGCAGGCTCCAGGCTCTGAGCCATCAGCCCAGAGCCTGATGCGGGGCTCGAACTCATGGACCGCGAGATCGTGACCTGAGCTGAAGTCGGACGCTTAACCGACTGAGCCACCCAGGCGTCCCCTAAAATCAAGGTGTTGGCAAGGCCGTCTTCTTTTTGGAGACCCTAAGAGAATCTCTTCCCTCACCTTTATCTGGCTTCTAGAAGCCACCCAAACTCCTTGGCCTGAGATCCCTCCGACATCCTCACGGCCAGCAGCTGGGGGTCTGACCATCTCTCTGACTCCTACCCCCTGCCTTTGTCTCCTGAGGACCTCCTGAGGACGCTGGGCTGCCTGGGAACCCAGGGTCACCCCCGCCTCAGGGCCCTTAATCCCTTCTGCAAAGTCCCTTTTGCCATGTCCGGGGCCATGTTCACAGGTTCTGGTGATCACCGCGTGTGCACCTTTATTCTGCCGGCCACATCTTTCATACTTGGCTTTATGATGTGGGGTTGGAGTGGGCTGAACATGCAGGAAACCACATTTCTACTTCGCCAGCGGCTCCCCGAATACTAGAACCTTCTAACCGCAGGGTGGATGGAGGCCGCAGGAGGGAGAAGGGGTCTGCGCCTTCCTGTCCTGTCACTCTGTGCGTTTGAGAATGCCTTTGTTACCTCCACACATGAATCACATCTCAACTTGACTCACACTTCTTTCCCCTCAGGCTGCTACAGTTTTACTTTGCTCTCTGTGCAATGAATGTTTTGCGAAGAATCCCGAGATCAGCCTCGTTTTTCACCTTAATGAATGAAATGACATGTCCTTTATGAGTGATGCTTACAGGGTAGTTATCTGAACACACTATGGCAGGCAGACGGTGCTGGAGGTTCGTGGCAGAACCCAGTCTTAAGGCATACTTCTAAATCTCATGCTGATTTATTGAAATTTGGCTTTCATTATTAATCCATATTAAGCGAAAAAGTATATAATCATACTTTAAATAGCTTATGAATCCAACAAGTCATTTATTTTTAACTCGAAGCTTTTTATGTATTAATTTTCTAAACATTTTTATGACAGCGTATAAAACCTTTTTGCAAAACCCCCCGATTTTTTTTTTAATTCTGTTTGTAAATCAAGTAAGTGGTACCAAGCGTTTGGACGTCCAGACCCAGCCTAGGCACAGTTTTCTTAAGCGGGTAGGCCTTATTAGATACCTTGGGTGTTAAGCCCCCATTTATTAAGTGTTTTCAGGTCCGTCCCAAAGCCTTACAGAAACTTTCCTGTTGTTTCAAATCAGTTAAGATAGGAACTCAATTGCCTCGGGGACATCACGCTTTTAGTCTGCAGAATTCCCTGGGGACACAACAGAACCCTGATTCCAAATACATCTCTCTGCAGCGTAAAACGCACACCTACGGGTTTCAAAAGCTGCCCGCACTGGGGCGGGGCGCCAGGTCCCGATCCCCGGCGATTAGCGGACCTCCAGCACCGGGACGGGGCCGGAGCCTCAGATGTCAAAGGTCACTCCTGAACCCGGAGCCTGACCCGGCCTTCCGTGCGGTGACGTCACTGCGTAGGGTCTTTGTTCTTGAACAAAGAGTACTCGTCCACGGTCACCTCGCCTCCAGGCCTTTGCGGCCCTGTCTTCTCGGTCCCGGCTCCGGGCAGGGGACGCTCCGCGGCGAAACCGAGTCAGGAGGTCAGGGCCTGCCACGCCGCGCCACCGGGAGGCTCAACTCCCGGCGCAAGTCCGGAGCGCGCGGGTCAGCCACGTGTGTCGGGACGGCCTGTCGCTCAGATGCAGGGGTGTGGTCACGGAGAACCGTCCAATCAGAACGACAAGGGCGTTTCTCGAAACACAATCAGAGGCCCCGGGGCGGTGCTTGGAGAACTAGCCAATCAGGAGCTTGGGTGAGGAGCACTGTCCAATCAAGGGCACCAGAGGTGGGTCTCGGAAAAGTATCCAATCAGGAGCCCTGGGAGAGGGAGGACCCCGAGCACCATCCAATCAGGGCGCGGGGGCCCGGAACACCGTCCAATCAGGCGCGGGGGCGGGCGCGCTTGCGGCCGCGTGGACGTGGCTCCGGGCAGGTCCCGGGGGCTCCTGCGCACCTGCCCGCGCGGACCCAGGTGTCCTCCTCTCACCTGCCCGGCCTTCGGGCCCGCGGGGAAGACGTCTTCCCCGGAGAGCTCGGAGCCGGGCCCCGACATGGTGAGTGCGCGCGGCCCGGGCCGAGACCGGGAGTAGCTGGTTCCATCCGGCCGGAACCCGCTCCCTGCGGCCGCGGCCCGGGTGTCCCCGTCCCCGGGGCTCCCGACCCGAGTCTCCGCCTTCGGGCGAG